CCTCCTGAGTGCTTCTTGACTTCATTTTTTGCTATTTAAAGTTCATTATACCTGAGGCTCAGCTAACATCCCTCCTCTTCTCATGGGAAACTTCAACAACCCTATGCTGTAGTTTCTGCCTTCTGAGCTTCTATTACATTAGAGTTAATCATTCACAATTTTATGGGTGTTGATTTGTACTTTATCTTTTCTCCTCAGTGGGAATGTGAACATTGCACATATGAACTAGATTGTATATGGCCTCATATTTCATATCCCAATTACACATGGATTGGTAAATGAACTATAAATATAGGTGCACATTTCTGAACCAATCAGTAACAGTGCATTTTTTGGACAAATTGGTGAAATAAAGGTCTAGCCGCCAAATAGGCGTATGAGTTAGCACTAATGAGACTTTCATTTTTAGGTCATTAATGTGGATGATGATGGGAATGAGTTAGGTTCAGGCATAATGGAACTTACAGACACAGAACTGATTTTATACACTCGCAAACGTGACTCAGTAAAATGGCACTACCTCTGCCTGAGACGCTATGGCTATGATTCGAATCTCTTTTCTTTTGAAAGTGGTCGAAGGTGTCAAACTGGACAAGGTAAGTAGAAACTTTTTTATTTTCCTCCAAATAATACCATATTGGAAATACTTTTCTTCAGTTATTTTATATGCAGTTCTTAATCATCATCTGATAGAAGATAGCCCCCAAATAAGTGGGTTGTTAGGAAAAAGATGCAGTAAAATATATTACTCACTTATCAAGCATTTAGTAATCGTGTTCTCCATGTCCAGAACTTTCAGTCATGTTAACTTTTAAGGTTTTCAATAAATGATTAGCCCCGCTAAGTTGACAAGGTGCCATTGCTATTATAATTTGGGGAAAGAAAACAAACTTTGGAATTAAATAGAACTTAGTTTGATTTTTTTCGGCCACCTTCAGTGGCCTTGGCCAAGTTCCCCACCTCTGCGGAGCATCACCTTTCTTCCCTATTAGACAGGAATGGTAATCTCTACCTTACAGAATGATTGCGATAGATAAACACTATTAACAGTGGTCAACTGTGTAATAAGGACCTGGTGAAAAAGTGAAGGATTTGCTTTGTTAATAGTGCATTGGGCTCCCCCTAGTGTTAAAAAGAGACTAGCGCCAGTGTGAAATTTTGTTTTTGTCTGCTGGTTTTGGGTTATTTCCCTTTGGCAAATGAATATTAGTGTGTGAACTTTCCTTTGAGTTTTAAAACAAGTACTATCACTAGTTTACCAGACATTTATCTAAAAGGCCTTTATTACTACTGATGCACAGAATGCTTACTTTATAATTTTGTTCTTGAACAGGTGGCTTTGTAACTTTTCAAAAGATATGGTAACCATTTTCCCCCTCTGGTTTATATTGTAGGAATCTTTGCCTTTAAGTGTGCCCGTGCAGAAGAACTATTTAACATGTTGCAAGAGATTATGCAAAATAATAGTATAAATGTGGTGGAAGAGCCAGTCGTAGAAAGGAATAATCATCAGACAGAATTGGAAGTCCCCAGAACACCCCGAACCCCTACGAGTAAGTGCCCGTTTTCCTTCTTGTAGTTTGAATAATAGACATTTATAAACTGTAGATTATGACTATTTAGACTATGTTAGGAATTGCCATTGGCTACTAAAAGTATAATAATAGTTGTCAATTATACTATAAATATCTTTAATGTCTTAACTAGAAAATACTGTAAGCATTTCATGTTTTTAAATGTGAATGGAAAGTTGGGGTAGAGGTGGGGAGTTACTTGTGCGCTGATGTCTGCTGTTTGTTACCAGAAACACTTCCTTAATCCCCTTAAGTGGTACAAGGTGGGTCCTCATTCATTTGTATTCTCTCTGTTCTACCCCTGTATCTTGCTTTCTCCTTCAACCAATAAACAAACAAAAACCCAGCTCCAGGGTTTGCTGCTCAGAACTTGCCTAATGGATATCCCCGATATCCCTCATTTGGAGACGCTTCGTCCCATCCTTCAAGCAGACATCCTTCCGTGGGAAGTGCACGCCTGCCTTCAGTGGGGGAAGAATCTACACACCCTTTGCTTGTGGCTGAGGAACAAGTAAGCATGTGCTAGTGTCTTAACAGGTCAACAAATTGTGTGGCCTTAACTGTTACTTAGGCCTGAAGGTTTTAGTCAGTTTGAATTCTAGCATTCCTTGTATGACTCCATAGTGACAAATCAGGAAATAGCAAATATTTGCTGACTTCTGCCCAAATATGAGTAGGTGCTCAGGGGAATTTAGCATTACAGTATTTTGGGACTCATAGGAGAGGTGTATCTGTATATAAGAAAAGATACTAACTAATGGTCAACTCCCATTATAATTCTGAGTTTATGCCACTGTTTATATTGTAGCTTTTAATAAGTTGACTGCTAACAGGATGATAGATTTTGTTGCTGATACTTTCATAGAGCTATTTAATATTCTTACTTTTTATTTGAGAATTGAAATATTAGATTAACATTGTTCACATTAGTTATACTTTTATAAACTATCTGTACTTATCATTAAGACATTTTCATTCTCTCCCTGTCCAATTAGCAACACAGTTCTGGTAATG